TGAAACAGCACGGCACTCTATTATCAGGGCTGATAGAGCACTGCACCCTATTACCAGGACGGACCTTACATCACTGCGCTCCATATTGACAACACTCCATACTCAGGACTGATACAGCACTGCACTCCATATTGACAGCACTCCATACTCAGGACTGATACAGCACTGCACTCCATATTGACAGCACTCCATACTCAGGACTGATACAGCACTGCACTCCATATTGACAGCACTCCATACTCAGGACTGATACAGCACTGCAGTCTCTTATCCGGACTGATATACCCACTGCACTCTATACTCAGGGCTGGCCTTATACATCACTGCACTCCATACTCAGGACACTCTAGAGCACTGCACTCCATACTCAGGACTGATACAGTACTGTACTCTATTATTAGGGCTAATACAGCACTTCACTCCATATTCAGGACTGATACAGCACTGTACTCCATACTCAGGACTGACACCATAAAGCACTGCATTACATACTCAGGACAACATCCAGGACATCATACATCCCTGCACTCCATACTCAGGACATTTTACATCCCTGCACTCCATACTCAGGACATCATACATCCCTGCACTCCATACTCAGGACATCATACATCCCTGCACTCCATACTCAGGACATTTTACATCCCTGCACTCCATACTCAGGACATCATACATCCCTGCACTCCATACTCAGGACATCATACATCCCTGCACTCCATACTCAGGACATCATACATCCCTGCACTCCATACTCAGGACATCATACATCCCTGCACTCTATACTCAGGACTAACAGTTCTGTACTCCATACTCAGCACACAGCGCTCCATCCCCAGAAGGAAGGCAGCCCCAGACGCCGCCAGCAGGGCTCAGGACTCAGATCGCCTCTCTCACCCGGACTGTTCTTTGTAGAGGGAGCGGAGCGGATTTTGGATGTGAGTGTCGCACCCATAGCTGAAGCGTTGTGTCAGACAGAGAAGACTGGAGAATAGTGAAGTTGGTGCAGGCGAGGAAAGTTTGTGAACACTTTTCACACAAAGAGAACGATCGTTCCCGGGGCATGTACACTGCACAGTGACAGCGGCATGGACCCGGCCGATCTCCCCTACCACCCTCCCCGGCCGGCTCGCCGGACTCAGTGGCTGGCCAGTGTCCTGGCTCATCACTACGGACTGGACCGCGGGCTGGACAATGAAATCATCGTTCTGGCCAGTGGACTGGACCAGTACCTGCAGGAGGTCTTCCATCACCTGGACTGGCGGGCAGAAGGCACCATCTCCGGGGAAGAGTTCCGCACCCTGTGCGGGGTCCTTGGCTTGGAACCCGGAATGGACGAGTGCGAGGGGCTGCTGGAGCAACTGCCGGAGCGCCTGACTTTCCGACACTTCCATGCCAGGCTCTGCGGGCACTTCAGCTCCAAAGCCAGGGGCCCCCGCCTGCCTGTGAGCCAAGGTAGCCCGATCCGGCTGAGAAGGAAGAAGAGCCCGAGGATGACCCTGACAGGGGAAGACGATGTGCTACATAGGCTGGAGGACGAGAACCGCAACCTCAGGGAGCTGCTGGAGGACATGAGGACGGCTCTGCAGAGCAGTGATGCCCGCTGCCTGGCACTTCAGGTGAGACAGAGGATGGAGAGGGCTCCGCAGGGGTACTGCCTCTGGATACTGCATCAGGGCAGTGATGCCCGCTGCTTGGCACTGCAGGTGAAATAGGGGATGGAGAGGGCTCCATCCCCTGCAGCAACCAGGTACTGCCTCTGGTTGCTGCATCAGAGCAGTGATGCCCGCTGCCAGGCACTGGAGGTGAGCAGTGCTCAGCTGGGGTACTGCCATTGGGAGGCACACAGGTCCATGATTGTATAAATGCCTAAAATAGATGTCCTCCAAGTCACTAAAAGTTTAAATAGAACTCTAGGAATTTAAAAATGTACCCATGCAGTAGGAGTTTGAAATTGTATTTCCACATTTGCAGCCAAATTGGGTTAATACATTTATAATATTCATTGCTATTATGTGCTATTATACTATATGCTGCATATTATACATGTATAGAAGAGAAGTATACACTACTTCCAGGACGCTAGTAAATCTGGATACTTGCTATGAGTGGAGAAGTTGTGTATATACAAATTGGGATAACACCTATTTTATGTTTGTTGCATGCTCCCATTCACATTGCATAATTTAAGAAGAACTCTGGGTAAAACTTTTCAGTGAGGCTTCCTCTGATTGCTCGTTTTGATCTAGATGCTAAAATAAAAAAGTTATACTCACCCAAACTTTGGAGCCGGCTGTCTCTTAGGCCAGTCCCTTCCAGCGTTGCTCCCCCTCTGCTGCAGCAGTCTAAGATCCCTGAGTAATCACATGCAATACACTGTGTATAGGATGTGAGGATGCCGAGGGACATACTATCGCTGCAGCAGAAAGGACAGGTTGGAGAGAGCACTGCAACAGTCGGCAGATGAATTTAACTTTGATATTTTAGCTCCCTAGAAGAAAAATTAGCTCTTAACCCTTGCAGCACAGGTGTAACCCCACTGCAAGGGTTAAGATTTGATTTGGAGTTCTTCTTTAATGCAGAACCTTTCTGGTGTTTAGACCTGTGGGCAAGTGGTACTTGGAGGCAGACAGGAGACAAGGACCAAAAAACCTGTCCAAACTAAACTTACAAGCTTCCCTAGTCTTGTTTGCATTGATTTTGCTCTTCTGAGCTACTTTACTCCTAGTTCTCCAAACATCTCTCTGGACTATAATCTAATATAACTTTGTGTTTGTGTTTAAGCTGGTTACAGTGACTGATTCAATAACTAACAGACCAATGAACATTTATAGCTCATCAAGGCCGAGTAAGGGAACACTTACCAGAATACAGCATAAACAGTTATAAAAATATGAATAGCGCTCAGCCTTCAGGAAATTGTCCCACAAAGACTTTTATTTTGCTGCCGCCAACATGAGCAGTGTGTTATTATCCCAATGATGGATGTTGTTGTGATCCACATAACAAAGCCGTCACCATTCATTCTGACTGAGCCAGGACAAATGATAAGAAATGCGATGGTAATTACATGTCTGGAGTTCTACTTAAAAAAAAAATTAAAAATTGCTGCTTACATTTTTTTTGGCAATTCAATAATTTTATTGACAGTTTTCAAAAATGTAACAAAAGCAAAAAAGAATAGGACAGTGTGTAGAACATGGTCATCAGAAATTGGCAAAGTTATACAATACTTAAACATCTGGGGCTCTTATACGATGCATCAAGTAAAAGGATAACCAGAGCAAAGAAAGAAAGAAAGAAAGGGCTCAACAACTATTAGGTAAATGTATCGAACAAATGGAGTGAAGAAAAGAGGAGGAATAAAAGGAAGCTGCTTATATGTTAAGTGATTTTTACTTGCTCAAAAATCCTACCTAGCCCCCCCCCCCCCCCCTTTTTTTAAGGAGGGGGCTGTGGGAAGTTATGGTTGCTCTAATTAACCCTGTCTGTACTGTGCTGCCAGATCTCGTTATCAGTTGTGAACTAGATTTGAACACGGTCTGTCCTAACAAGGGGTTAAAGATTTAGACGCATTGTATGTTAATGAGAGGAAGCTCACTGTCCCTCAGTTTGTCCCTCTACTTTCACTTTCAAACTGCTCAGAGTAGCCTGGAATCTACACAAAGGCCTTCACCAAAGACACGTGTAAAAAGATAAAGAATTTTTATCTTTTTAAAAGTATTTTTCAGTATGTTGTTTATGGGAACACGTAACTAACATATAGAGGGGCTTTCTCAAATTTAACTGCAAATGTGGAAATACACTTTCTTTAAAGAAAATATATTAAAAAAATGTATTAACC